CAACAACTGCTTCTAGTTCTTTGTTTCTAGAGTGGTGATGTTTGGCTTAGGATATAGGTGTCGAGTGATCAACTTTGTCTATTTTCCTTATTAGTTTGCTGTTTGGTTCTAGGGCACTTATTGCAAGTGTTCCTCCATTAGTATTGTATTCGGATTAGTTAATCCGCCGTATTGTAATCCGTTTTTTCTTTAATGAGAATTTCTATCGTTTTGAAAAAAAAAAACAACGGTAAATTCTTCTTAAATCCCTAATCCACAATTCTTTTTCCTTGTCAGTCCCCGTTGCATTTCATTTTCCTCTTTACTCCCCAATACATATTTTTCTTTCCTCTCAGCTCCCCATATAAATACTAATACTATTATTATTCATTTATTTTGTTATTTAATCAAAAAATGGGAAAAAAAATAGGTTCTCTCTCGTCTTTACTCTCTTTCTCCAGATCTGAAAAAAAAAAAAAAAATCGAATACGAAGCTCCAAATGATCTATCCATGGAGAAACACATATCCTCCTTCGCCTCCATAGCTATAGCCACGCGTACCCTCTTTCTCCTCTACCTGCAAACCACCTCTCGAATGACTCCCAGGCCCTGGTCGTCTTTGTTAAATTGCCAGAAAAAAAAGAAGAAGAAGAAGAAGTTTCTTTTAACAAGACCTAGTAGGAATTATGAGCAATTTTCGAAATCCGAAGCTGCCCACTGATTAACAGAAGAGAAATCTATCATGTGTAAGAGAATTAATTACTCTCTCTTACCCCTACAGTAGTGCATCAATGGCAATCGCGACACACAAATTTTGCTGCGCAAATTCTCAAATTATAACCGCAAGCCACCAATATTTTCTGATGATTCATGATGTATTCAACTAATGCAAGTGAGTTTTCAGTTTCTCCGGTTATGGGAATTACAGAAATTTCATGAAGATGTTAATTGGAGTTAATTATCTATTGCATTAGTTTTCCAAGTTTTTTTTTTTTTTTTAATGTTTAAGCTGAATATTGTAGATTGTAAACTTATAATTCGTTCTTTTTTCTTTTTTTTTTCCCTGGTAATAATTTGGTATTATGGAGAATTATGAGCAGTTTTTTAATTCTAAAAATGAGTGAATTTAGTAAAATTACTTCTTAATTTTATGCAATTACCATGATTAATGGATATTGATGGTCCTGTGCTTGTGCTTTTAATTAAACACATACGCAGGATGAATTTGAATAATGTGTTCCCTGTAAGAGTATTGTGTGGAATTTATCATTTCTCCTCTCTCTTTGTTGGATTTTAGATTGGCTTTGATCTACATTAGATGAGCATCTTTACAGTTAACTTGTGATTTGGGAAATGGAAATGGTGACTGTACAGTAGCTTATACTAGGTTTGTTAATGGTTGGAGACAATGATGTGATGAAAACAATCTTTTAATAGCAACCCAACGGATGCTGCACTGCTGATGCAGTTGGGCTGTGATTGGGTGTTTTTGGCCCGGAAGTTTAGGGGTGATATTTTATACCCGAGAACCGAACCGGACCGGTTCGGTCCGGTTATTCAAAAAAATGAAACTTTTTTTTCGGTTCCGGTTAATTTTGCAAAAATCCAGTTCTAGTTCCCGGTTTTTTTGCAAATGTTTGCTTATTAACCGAGGGACCGACTATATATATGAAATATGCATGTTTTATATGTGTGTATATATGAATCAGTTCTGGTTCTTGATATGTAATACTCGGTTCCTCATTTTTGCATTTCATTTCTTGATTTTTATGATACTTTTAGATCATAAGTTGCAATTTTTTCATCGGTTCTTAAGTCAAAACCGGCTATTGTTGGTTATTCTTTATAATTCGATTACCCGAAGAACTGGAAAAACTGAACCGTTATAACTCGGTTCGGTTCTTTTTCGGTTCATGCAGATATTTAGGTGTTAACCGAACTGGTTTTTTATTTCGGTTCCGATTCCGGTTCTTGAAAAATATGTTAACCAAACTTGGTGTTGGTGCCTTCCGAAGGATTTATGGTGGAAGCAAGAGGAATGGCAGTCGTCCGTCCCATTTTGGCAAGAGCAGTGGGTCTGTGGCTCGTAACATTTTTCAGTAGTTGCAGAAGATGAGCATAGTTGAGGTGGATCCACCTCGAGGTGGACGTAGGATCACATTCAGCAGGCAAAGGAATTTGGACCAAGTTGCATTTATTTAGTTTAATTTGTGTTTTAGCTTGTTGGAACTTCAGTCGGAAGAAATCTCTGGACAAAGATTTTGGTTTAAAATGTTTGTTTTTTGACTTTCTGATGATTTAACGAGA